TATATTATATTATATTATATTATATTATATTATATTATATTATATTACATTATATTAAACAGAAAAAGGATAGAATTTCAGAGGACATTAAGACATTTATTACATATTGGTAATTAAATAAAATGATGATTATCATACATGTTATGTGGTGGTTGAGGAGTCTGAAATGAAAATTTTAAAGACCATGTTGGCTTTTTTTCAGAGCTTTCCCAAGCTGGAGGTGGTGTATTTCCTCCACTTCTATAATATCTTGACTCTGAAGTACATTTTAGAGAGGTAAGTGTTGTGCTCACAGAAGGATATGTATATATTTTTTACAATATTTAATAGTTGGTCATCTGTTGAACATATTTGTCCCAATCGTCCTAAATATTGAATCTTCTATCAAACTGATAACAGATGTACAAAGTTTCTAAACAAATAACTCTTGAGTTGATAGTATTAAAGTAGAACAAAAAGGAATTTATTTAAGGGAAAAAGGCACTTTCAAAAGTAAAAAACATGTCGTTTTTTTTTGTTCTTTGAACAAGAATCCAGAAGGAAGTTCAGTAACTTAAATTATTACTCAGTTTATGGCAACAGCATTTTTAATTTGACATAGTTGTGATGTTGATCTGAAAGTATGAAGAGAATTTCAATGCTCTGAGGATCAAATTATTTTTCATGATATTCACAATGCGGTCGCCATGGACACAGTCCACAGATGGAGTCTCTGTGTCTGCATATATGAGACCAGGTTCCATCTTGAGTCAGCTCTCACCTCGTCAGAGCTTTTTTTACATCAGACCTGTCAGAAATGTGTTCCCCCCCACCTCCGTGCCCCCCTTCCCTTTGTGCCTTTCAGTGATGAAGGAGTGCGATCGTGGCTGGTGCCTCAGCTGAAGGCTCTGTGTGGCTGGATTCCACCTCAGGGAGAAGAGGAGAGCGAACGAGCTCAGCAGAAAGTGTTGGAAAGTGAGCCTTAAAACTCATTTAAACTCTCTGAGGTAGTTCGTTTTCTTTTGACTGATCGGTTTTTTAAGGGCAAAGTTAGTTTTTTTAAGCTGGAAATGGACACATCATCTGAGTCAGCAAAATCTGTCTGTCTTTTACTATTAATTAACATAGTTAACATCTTTAATGCCACATTTGAACCTTCATACCACAAAAACCACAAAACCTATTCAAGACAACATATTAACCAGTTTCTAAATATGCATGTTGCATTTTCAGTAAACAAATGAAATATATTGGATTATCTTTTTCTCTTCAACTAGCAAAGCAAATCCAGGTGAGATCCAGATCAGTTTCTTTTTAGAGATGACCGTCGTTTGAAATATCGTTTATTCTCATTAAAGTATATTTAGGTAGTCGCTCCTTATTATATAGTTCAGCAGTGACTGTCTGACTGTGGACTTGTAGAGTTTGAACCGCTGTGCTGAGAAAAGGTCTGCTGTGTTCCAGCTGTGGTTGGCGTCTTGGTGGGGACGGGGTTCAATCCCACGACTCCTCATAGGAAGATTTCTCTGCTCTGCTGTTCGATTCTGGACGACATGCTGTTCTGTGAGTCCTCCTGTGTCCTAGCCGCTCATCCAGAGCCTCGTACTGACGTACTGAAGCAGTTCTTTTTACATGTTTTCTGAATACTTTTCCTTCTTCAGGGCTTTTGGACACCGTGGACACTGTCCAGCCTGCTGCAACAGGACCTCTGCGATGGTTAGTTTCTTTCTTTTCTGCCTTATTTATGGGGTCTTCTTGGGATTTCAGCAGGAACAAGATGGCAGACTCTAAAAGACAATTAAAGCGCAAAAAGGTGACAAACCACATAGTTTAGATTCTCATGATCTTAATTAAAGTTCAGTATAGATCACAAAAGGACTTTCATAAAGAAGACCAGACACACAATGTGGAGAACTAAAAGTCTTTAAACACATTTGAAGGCTGTGAAATATCTCGGATCAGATCAGAACCGAAGTCATGTGTCACAGCTTTTCACCCTAATGTTTAGAAATTCCTGAATTTTTTGCTCTTCCTGAACATTTGGCTTTTCTTTCCTCTTTGCTGTCTTGGCCTGTGTTTCCTACAGGATTAGGGTGTTTGATGCGTCCCTGTGTGGAGCTTCAGCATCGCCAGAAGCCCTCCAGCGTTTCTTCACACACTCCTTAACGCAGACTCTCACCTACAAGCCGCGGCTCACAGGTACCTGAGGTCGTTAATCGTTTTCTTATCCTGTAAACGCAGGCCCTTATCTGGCAGCTTTCTATGCCATCGGAAAGTTCAGGTTCAAAGATCCAGGTGATTCTTTATGATTTCCTTTGTGTTTTGTTGCAGGTGTTGTACAGTTTTGGCTCTTTTACTGGTTTGTGCTCCTCTGACATTGTTGCAGTGAACACCTGCAGAAGCTTGGAAGTTCCTAGAAGCCATCAGAGTGGATTTAGATTAAAAACAGATGAAGTGTGAAAAATCCTAAATGTCCATTGAATATAATATATTAATCTTTTAGGAATATTTTTATCTAGTGAAACGGTTTGTTGTCTTATAGGGCCGTAAAAGAGGTTGGTTGGTCTTGGTCTTTAATGGCATAAATCTCCTGCCCTCAGTGTCGGATGCGATCAGCCAGCAGATAGAATGGACTTTTGCCAAAGCCAGCCGCTCACTGACGTCTCTCTTCCGTAAGGTAAATGATCTGCGTAATCCATGCAACTGGGTTAAAGCATTATTAAGGCTCCAAAGATTAAAATGACTCAGCAGAGATGCATATGTGAGTGTTGCGGAGCATCTCAAGACATTGTCTCATTTCAGACTGCATCTCTGCTTCTTGATAATGTGTGTTTCTAGCTAACAGATGAGTTTTTCCTCATGTGGATCTGGGTTTTGTTGGGTTTTTCAACTCATTACAATTAAAGTTTGAACCCCTTTCTGTTACACTTGATTATACCTTTCCACCAAATTTGTGCTTCTCTATTTTTAATTCTGCATTACTTCAGCACCTTACTTTACACTATAAGTTGATTTATTTTTTCCACCGGTCTCTTTGAAAGCTGTCGGCGAGCTGTGAAGTGGAGCAGCTTCTGAGTCACCTGCAGCAGGTCCTGGAGACGCATGAGGTCAACTGGAAACATGTCCTGTGCTTCCTCTCCACTCTGCTGGTTTACTATCTGTCCTCTCAGACCTGTCTAAGAGGTAAACACAAAATAGCCGCAAAAACTCGAAAACCATGTGAGGATTACGTGTCCGTGTCTGATCTTTGCCTCCGTCTCTGCCAGAACTGCTGTCCAGGCTGCTGAGCTCTGCTTTCGAAGACTACGACCTGGAGAACCTGATAACTGCCTTCTTGTTGGCTCGTCAGGGTGCGCTGGAGGGTCCTGCCGTCTTTCCCTCCTACATTGACTGGTTCAAGGTTTCACAAGTTTTTACATTTTTTTTATTTTTAGCTCAGTTTGAGGCTTTCTAAAGCATTTTGACCCAGTATCAGTGCGTATTCCACAGTCCTGCAGTGGTTCTGTCTTTTTGTGATGGAGCTGCAGATGCACTGCTGTGTGAAATTCTGTTGATGCTTTACCTGTGATTCTAAATTGACCCTCGAGGTTAGTGTGACTGTCCATGTCTGGCCCGTCTGTTTCTGTGTGGTCCTGTGATGAACTGGTCAGGATGTGTCCCACCTCTCACCCACTGGCAGCTGGGATAGGCTCCAGACCCCCCCTCACCCCATGTCTCTGATTTGGATTAAGCAGGATTAATAAATGGGTTTAGATGGATGGATAGAAGACAGTGGTTTTGCACCAGACATAAATAATCTTTTAACCCTCTGTGTTAACACAGAGGCCTACCGATATTCCAAACTTTTAATATCTGGCATATACTGTATTTGCAATGTTTTACATTCAAAATTGTGTTACAAGAGTTAAAATGGAGAAAGTGGGTGTTTTAATCTCCATTTAGGATCATATTTGATGTATTTTAATTGTTTATGTAATTCTAATTTTCCATAATTTGTTCTGTGGCTCAAATGGGAAAAATGGACATCTTAGATTTTTTATGCTAAGAAGGAAATCCAAACAGCATTATATTTCTCACCTCTTGGTGCAGTATGTCAATGCTTGTCTTACTATTTTCTTCTGTTTCAGATGTCCTTTGGTGGCGGAACTGGCTATCATGCAAGCAGTAAGAAATCGCTGGTGTTCTTGCTGAAGTTCCTCTCTGATCTGGTGCCCTTCGAGCCTTCCCAGTACCTAAAGGTTACCTACCTTCTCTGTCCTTATCCACAGGATGTCTAAAAATATGGTTAAAAAATATGGTTAACTCCTGACCGTTACAGGTTCACATCCTGCATCCTCCTTTTGTGCCCGTTAAACACCGGAGCCTCCTCACTGAGTATGTGTCTCTGGCTAAGACCAGACTGGCTGACCTCAAGGTAAAGAGAAGACTGGAGCCAGATAGTTTTATCATTACTCGTAAACAATGGACACAGTAATAAAACGGAATGACTTCATTGTATTTTACTATTAATTTCTTCTGTAATTGTACATGCAGGAGTCAGTGGAGGACATGGGCTTGTACGAGGATGTTTCTGGTGCCGGTGGATCAGTTCAGGTAACTGCCAGGCAGGGATTCAGCCGCACATATTTTTACAAGACAGAGATATTTCTTATCTGAAGAAAGGGTTGTCTTTTTCCCTGTTGCTTTTTTTTTCGTTATGCATGCGCGTTTTATCTAGATGAAAGCCAATAATGCTGTGAAGCATAGTTTTTTTTCCATAATAGTGTGACGGTATTTAAAGACTAAAAGATAAAAGACCAAAAAGCGTTTTGCTTTTGTTTTTGGATTTAGAAACGTTGCCGTGTAAGATCTCTGGCAAAGAGAAACAAACCCAAGTGGTGTTGTCATCAGTTTTTGACTGCTGGTGTTTGCAAATGGTATCGTCGTCCAAAGATAACAGAGTAATCTTTGTGTGCAGCCTCAGTGCCAGGCTGCACAGGACGTGGGAAAGGCTGTTTCTCTGTTCGAGAGCACCGGCAGAATCTCTGCCACAGTCATGGAGGCCAGGTAACACGTCCGACCTCTGCCCACCTGCAGCACATTCATGCATCACAGCAGCAAATGCTCAGCGGATCACTCAGACAGAGACCTGAACCCACTGATGGACGTCCGTTTACAGAGAAAAGGCACAAATCCCCCACAAAATAAAGAGACACACTACAAAAAGATGCTGATCAACTACAAAAGGAAACCCAATCAACAGCAAGTGTTAGCAAGTGAAGACAAACTATAAAGAACTATAAAAGCTACAAAAAGTCAGAATAAACTCAATGATACTCAAAAGCTGTCCCAATATGCCAAAGTGATAAAAACAATATAAAACAAGAATAATCTGCACAAAATAACAGCAGACAGATGTCAAAAAGAGGTCAAATAAGAGAAAAGGGACAGCAAAGTGATGGTATTGAGAGACAAAAAAAAGATAACAAGATGGCAGCAAATAAGCCAAAAGAGCAGAGCGAGTACTAACCATAAAGCTCTCAGACCAAACAGTACCTCGTTGAGAAGAAAATGACTTCCAGAAGAGCTTAAATGACCCCAGAATCCCTCTGTAATCTTGCCTTTGGAAATTGAAAAAAACCAAAAGGAAACTAACACGGGCTTTTCTGCTCGCAGTATTTTCCGGAGGCCTTATTTCCTGTCACGATTCCTTCCCGCTCTGCTGAAGCCGCGAGTGGTGAGCACGCTCTCCCCCCCTTTTTGACTACTCTTTGGATCCTCTTTATTTTTCCACTATTTGGGCAATTTGTTGCTGCATAACACACACACACACACACACACACACTAATGCTTCTTTTTGCTGTCTTTCAGCTTCCAGTCAAACCTGACGCTCGGATGAATTTCATAGAGGCTTTGAAAAAGCAAGTAGTCTTATATATGTGGAATGACCAGTGATCATTTAGCGTGTTTTGACGGCTCCTGTTTTCTGTGTGCAGAGCTGACAAGATCCCTGGTGCACAGTATTCATCCTATCTGGACTCCTGTCTCAAACAAAGGCAGCAGAATAGTGGGTGTTCTTCACAAAACTCAGTTAATCAGCAAATCAGTGATTTTTTAAGCATTTTGAAGATGGTGTGCTGAAAGTGAGGACTCTCTACTATTTAGGTATTAGATATATAATTTTTAGGCAGTTGAAATGATGAGCTCAGCCCATTTAGAAAATTCATTCATTGTTGATCTGTCATAATTCAAGGGATTATAATTATTTTTTCTGTTTTCTATCAGTGTAATTGGCTGTTTTTTGTCCTGGGTTGGGCATTCAAAGCGTTTCAAATGTTTAATTGTAAATATCTGGGTACTTTGAACACGTTTTAGTACATATTTGGACTGTTTTATGTTTAATTTGCCATCCAAACCTGTTTGCAGCATATTTGATAGCATTAGTACTTGGGGAGACAAAATGTAATATCAGAGTGCTGTTATTTTTTGAGGTGTTTTGGTTTAAGTTTGAACTTCAGCGCCTACACGGTGCAGGTTTAAAACAAACACTCGATTTCTGCAATGTGTTTTCAGAGGGCGCTGTGTGTTTGGACAGTAACGATGATCCTCTGGAGGTCCTGAAGGTTCAGCTGCAGGAGTTCGCAGAGCTGCTCGTGGGTGGAGATGATGGAGGTGGGCCGATATCAGAGCACTCATCAACACCTGATTCAGTCTGTAGTCAGAGAGAGGCTTCAGGATTTGGTTTTATTCCAATACAAAAAAGAGATAATGATGGGTTTGTGTCCTCTGTCTGTCTGCGCCTCACGCCGATCGCGTGTCCTCAGAGATGTTTGCCCAGCTGTCCAGGGTCTCACACACTCTGGGTGTCATCTTCCCCGGGCGTCCCGACGAGCTGATCTCAGAACTGGTCCTCACACTGAGCACAGAAACATCTCCGTCCGCTGAGCTGCATGGAAAAGTACGCCCCGATCGAAGGCCGCTTTGCTCTGTTGTGTTTTTAAGTCACTAACTGCGCTGTGCTCCACACCTGCTCCTCACATATCATTAGGTTGTTAACATGATCCTGAGACACTTCTGTCAGTGCCTGCTGAACGCCTCCCGTGCAAACCCTCCTAACAAGTGAGTGGGACTTCTTGGCTTTGACGAAAGTAATAAGAAAACGACAAAAGAAACGAGAACATAGAGCTTTTGTTCTTTATTTTTGGTCAGCTAATACAGAAAATTCAGTTCACAATCAGTCAATTATTCGTTTTATTCTTACCATTAATGTTTTTATTATTGTTGTTGGTTTATTAGTATTTTATTGATGTATAACTTTGTAGCTGGAAATGTGTATTATGCGTGAATAATTTTCTCAGTTTATTATCATCACATCTTAAACCCAGAAAGGCAGTGCTGCCATTGACTGTTGTACAGAGAAAATCTTCAGAATATCACATGTAGGAATCCAGAAAGAGCAGATGTGTCTCAGTTCTGCTGAGGAAATCACTTGAGTGATTATTTCCTGGTCCAAACGGATACCTCTCGTATTTCTCTCTCTGCTGATTAGCGGACTCATAGCTTCTGCTCTGATTGTTCATCCCCTCAGACAAAGCCTGTGGGCCTCCAGATATGTCAGCATGATATTTGGTAACAAACAGCTCCTCTCCAGTGTCATGAACAGACTGTGGGACTTGTTTCACAACCAGGTACTTCCATGCATTTTATTTTACCCTCATATTTTGATGTCACTTTCAGAGGAGTTTATTGTCCCTCCACTTTATTTCTGCTCAGATAAGTCCTGCACTCATGTTCCATTATTCTGTTTTATCCAAAGGGGTCGGCACTGAGCGCTGCACATCTACTTGGTTTGGCGGCGTTCGTGGTCCACCTGAACGCCCTCATGGCCCAAGGTCCTCTGGTCCGGCTGGTTCCACCTTTTAGCCTGCAGCCAGTAACGTTTGGGGAAGCTCTCAGCTTGGCCCTGCGGTGCAACACGGGGGCCGACATGCTCTTCTGCGTCAGGTGAGGCTGCCGTTTTTTTGGTAAGACTGAAAAAGCAGTACGTTATTCATCTTTGGTCAAAGGACCACATGAAGCCATGGGCTGTACACCTCTGACCTCTGAACATCACAGGTTTTTCAGTGTCAGATTTCTCATTTAGCCATTGTGTGAATTTGTAACTGAGAGTTGTAATTCAGTTAGTTTCATGGGACACTGTTATAGATGATTCCTAGATGTTTTCTAGGTAACGCGCAACTCTGTTCTGTAAGACTTCATGGACTTTGGTTTTAGTCAAACACAGTATGAGAACTTCTTCTCCTTCTCCACTGAACGCTTGTTGGATTGATGTTTTTTGTGATGTCTACTTTGAGGTGCTGCAGAAATAAACTGCTTTAACCTGTGATTTGTGACTCTCCTTGCTGTCCAGGCTCTGTGTGGCAGCTGTGTGTTACGGCATCTGCATGAGGGACTCGCTACCTCCAGAAGAGCCGCAGGAGTTCATCCCCAACAGCCTCTTTAAGAGGGTAAATCAGGATGTTTGATTACCAAGATGCAACTTAGACAAAGCCCCATCATACTCCATCTTTTAAAACATAATTTTATTTTTGGTATATCCTTATTATGCGCTTTCACTTATTTTAGATATACATTTATCTTTAAAAAAAAATACTGTTACTGTCCAAAAACAATAAAAAATCTGTTGTGCATAAATGACTGAATGGTGGGGGAAAAAGTGAAATTCTGAGTTTTCAGTGAAAGCTGATCAATTCTAATGAATTGGAATCTTAATCTTCAGCCTGCTGATAAAAACTCCAACTCCAAATAGTTTGGAATGACTAACAACAGGATGCAAAATAATTCAATTAACATACAAAGACAGAAGCATGTTGATTTTCACTGGTTTGAGTCAAGGAACTATCATAATTGTTACACAGGATGTTGATGTAGATTCTCGGTCGTCCATACATTGGATGTCAGTGATGTTTGTAATAAATATGCTGCACTCCCGAAAGAAATCCAACAGATGCAGAGGTGTTCACACGATACTGTCACACGTGTGAGTGAGTGAACAGCTTCTGTGCTTGCTGCTCTCTTTCATTACGGTTGACTGAAACATCATTCTGTGTCTGCGCTCAGCTTCTGTACCTCGTCCCACGGCTCATGCCAGAGGCCAGAAGGTCCCCCTCTGATACTTGTGTGAGTGAACGTGAGGAGGAGGCCCTGCCCAGCTTGTGGAGCAGCGTCATAGACAGCAGCTGGAGGAGGACAGCCTGGCTCCTTTGGAGACATGCAGCCTTCCAACAGCTGGAGCAGATGCCACAGCATCAGGTAAAAAGTCTTTTTTTCTGTTGATTTAAAGGCAGAAAATGAAAGCCAAGTTGTCAAAAAAGTAATTTATTGCTCTGAAAAGACAATTTCTGGGCTTTCGGACCTGTGAAAAAATTCTGTCTTTCTTTATTCATTCAGAGCTAGTATTTAATTTAAAAATGTGATAAACATACACTATATTGCCAAAAGTATTTGCTCACCTGCCTTGACTCACATATGAGCTTAAGTGACATCCCGTTCCTAATCCATAGGGTTCAATATGACGTCGGTCCACCCTTTGCAGCTAGAACAGCTTCAACTCTTCTGGGAAGGCTGTCCACAAGGTTTAGGAGTGTGTTTATGGGAATTTTTGACCATTCTTCCAGAAGCGCATTTGTGAGGTCGCACACTGATGTTGGACGAGAAGGCCTGGCTCTCAGTCTCCGCTCTAATTCATCCCAAAGGTGTTCTATCGGGTTGAGGTCAGGACTCTGTGCAGGCCAGTCAAGTTCATCCACACCAGACTCTGTCATCCATGTCTTTATGGACCTTGCTTTGTGCACTGGTGCACAGTCATGTTGGAAGAGGAAGGGGCCAGCTCCAAACTGTTCCCACAAAGTTGGGAGCATGGAATTGTCCAAAATGTCTTGGTATGCTGAAGCATTCAGAGTTCCTTTCACTGGAACTAAGGGGCCAAGCCCAGCTCCTGAAAAACAACCCCACACCATAATCCCCCCTCCACCAAACTTTACACTTGGCACAATGCAGTCAGACAAGTACCGTTCTCCTGGCAACCGCCAAACCCAGACCCGTCCATCAGATTGCCAGATGGAGAAGCGCGATTCGTCACTCCAGAGAACGCGTCTCCACTGCTCTAGAGTCCAGTGGCGGCGTGCTTTACACCACCGCATCCGACGCTTTGCATTGCACTTGGTGATGTATGGCTTGGATGCAGCTGCTCGACCATGGAAACCCATTCCATGAAGCTCTCTGCGCACTGTTCTTGAGCTAATCTGAAGGCCACATGAAGTTTGGAGGTCTGTAGTGATTGACTCTGCAGAAAGTTGGCGACCTCTTCGCACTATGCGCGTCAGCATCCGCTGACCCCGCTCCGTCAGTTTACGTGGCCTACCACTTCGTGGCTGAGTTGCTGTCGTTCCCAAACACTTCCATTTTCTTATAATACAGCTGACAGTTGACTGTGGAATATTTAGGAGCGAGGAAATTTCACGACTGGATTTGTTGCACAGGTGGCATCCTATCACAGTTCCACGCTGGAATTCACTGAGCTCCTGAGAGCGACCCATTCTTTCACAAATGTTTGTAAAAACAGTCTGCATGCCTAGGTGCTTGAATTTATACACCTGTGGCCATGGAAGTGATTGGAACACCTGATTCCGATAATTTGGATGGGTGAGCAAATACTTTTGGCAATATAGTGTATTTAAACCCAGATAACTTCACTAAATTATTTGTGCAAAAGGAGCTAAAAAAGGGATAATCTGAAGTGTCAGATGACAAAACACGGCAACAATTGTCTTTCCTGCCATGTTTAGTAGTTCTGAACTATTCTTGTTAAAGCTATAAGTGCACTGCTGTTGGAATAGTCCTTTACACTTTCCATCAGTAAGTTAATGCACATTATTCTAACAGACAGAGTCTATTATTAACTCAATTAACGATCAAATATTGTGTTGTTTGGAAGCTGGGCTTCTCAGAATGGCTGCATAATGAGCTCAGAGTGCAGAGGAGTGAAGACGCCCTGTCCGACGCACAACGGTAAAGGCAGAAACACACAAACAGATTGACCTAACAGCTAAATCAATGGATATGTGTGTGTTTGTCTGCAGTCTGTGATGATTATTTAGAAGAATGATTTAGGGAACATAAACATCTTTGGTCACTTTTTTAGACACAAATTATGTTTCTATTTCTCAGTAAACCATTAGTTTTTTTATTAACTGAAGCAGATCTTTAACATTACAATAGTTTAACTGACTTTGGGAGAACAGCAGTGTAGGTTTGGCGTTTTTCTACATGGAGAGATTTTTGTTTTTTCTCCGATCTGTGTAGCCATTGTTATCTTCCCCATGTAGGCAGGAGTACGAGCAGTGGGCGTGCATGGAGCTCTACCTGACGCTTCCTGAGGAGCAGGGAGGCTGTGGAGGAGACGTAAAGAACCTGTGTTCCAAGCTGCTCAACGCCGTCATTAGCGTGCATTTAAGGTGGCTCCAATACATCTAATTCACAGAACATTGTTCTGCTGTGGAGATTCAGGCTGGTTTTGATAATCCAGTTTGTCTGATCAGTGCTTTTTACAGTGGTGTATTTGAAGAATGACAAGTTGTAAGAGAAGCAGGAAGTTCAGTATTGGACTTAACCAACCAGATATTAAGCATGCACATGGAACAAACATTTATTTATTGCTCTTTGCTAAATATATTTATCTTCAAATTGTACGATCGCCTGTTTGTTCTGGAATAAACTGCTGTGTTTTGAAATTGTGAAATACTTGAAATGTCTTTATGTGAAATGCAGCTGTATTAAAAATGTTGTCAAAGCTGAAATGAAAGCCGCACTCTGCTTTGTGTGTGATGTCCACAGGGACCCCAGCATGGAGGGAGAGTCACAAACAGGAACCTGCTACCCGGACATCCTGTCCAGATTACAGGTACAAGACTCTCTGTCTGCTCTTTTCACGCTGCAGATATTTATCCAAAGGCACGGGAAATGTCTGACTCTGGTCAGAAAGAAAAAAAAGGAACTCTGTCTTTTGGGATTTGGAGGATCTGGGTTAGAGAACCAGCTGCTAACGATGGCTGGGCGTGTGTCTGATGCCAGGTTATCTGATCTGATTCCACATGTGAGCCGGGTTCTAATCGGGTGTGTTGCTGTCTGTGTGCGTAGGAGCTTGTTTACGAGATGCAGCTCACCAAAGTCGGCGGCGGCCGTGGAAACGGAGCTGATCTCTGTGACTTCCTGTTTGAGGTGCTGTCTCAGAGATGCTCCTCCACAGCCAGCGTCAGCGCCGAGCTCAGCCTACAGTGCACCATACACACATGGAACAGGTCCACTGCTCACACAAACAGAGGTTGTTGTTCTAAATGCTGCGTGTCTAAAAGCTGTTTAAATCTTTGTTTTTCCAGAGTGCTGCTGGCTCTTCCTGCTGTGTTGTTCATCAAAGTAAAGGCTGAGGCAGGGAGGACGACTCTGGACTGCAGCAGGCTCACAGAACACGTCAACACTCATCAGGTGAGTTATTCCCCTGGTGGGACGCGTCTCGGCCGGTGGGAGGAACAGAGTTTATTCATGTCATGTTGCTCCTTTTGTTCACCCCAGAGGAAGGCGTGCTCTCCATCCGGCTTCCTGCCCTTCCACATAACGGCCCACTTTCTGAAAGTGAGGACCTTTTCTCCTTAACAGAAATGCTACAGATATATCACAGAGCTTTTCCAAGAAGTTTAAAGAGTTTGCTTCCGTTGCTTCTGCTTTAGGGTCTGTTTTGTGCCAGTGTGCAGTGCAGACACCCCGAAGAAGAAGTCAACAGAGTCTGGTCTCAGATGGGTGTCTGCTGTCCTCTGCTGTTGGTCTCCACAGTGGTAAATGTGTTTTACTCAGATTATAGGAAGTGGGTTTTTATTTAAAACTGCAAAATTCTTATTTTTCCACATAATGTTATGTGGAAAATTGTGTTTGACTACCATATATTAAAAAGGTTTTAGTGACAGAAAGATTTGCCGCATATTTCAAGTACACAAAACACTTTAAACAGAGCATGATATTCACAGGAAATTGAACATTAAATGTCCATAAACGAGAGTACAAATAAGTAAAAAGCTACCAAAGTTAGTCGGACCAGAGTTTGATTTTAATGTAAGTTGTAACTGTGCTGCGGACAGATCTAAAACATGGAAACCAGCTCTGCTCCCCATTTTCTTTGTTGTAAAGCCTCTTCGACAGATGGCAAAAAGTCTCTTCTAAAAACCTACTGTGTGGGATATTAAATGATTGGATGGTTATAAAGACCTGATAAAAGCTGATCAAACATATTCAAGTGTCTTTGTTTGCTGCTGTGTGTGTGTGTGTGTGTAGCACTGGTGGCGCCACCTGTCGCCTCTTCTGGTGTCGCTGTGGCGCCGTCTGCGTGATGCGGAGGCTCTGCCAGAGCAGCTGCAGCTCCTGTCGGACTGTCACAACTGGGCCTGCAGGTAAAGCACATCCTAGCACCCAGTACCTGTTTACACCTGAAAAATCCATGCTGGTTTTTTAAAATCAGCTCATACATGACGGCCGTTTAGCAATAATAGCTGTAAACCAAAACGCTTTGGAGACACTGACTAAGTCTTTGCAGTAAACGTTATTTCATGACCAAGTTTTTCTTCATTTCTGCCATTTTCTGCTAATAATACATTCATTCTGATGAATCTACCCCATTTATGATTCATTTATTTGTGGGGATTACAGTTTTTACTGTACAAACCTTTCATTGTAGTTACACAACTACAAAAAGCTTTGTATGGTTCCTTTTTATGAAATTGTGGTCGGTGACACTTTCTGTTGGGTAAACAAAAACTCCCTGCAGACACAGTCACACTGTGTTGCCATTGCGCCCGCTCTGCAGTTTGGAGAAAGGCCAGCTGATCCAGACGCCTCCGGCCGCAGCCCTCCTGCTGGCGGCCAGCCTGCACCGTGCCTGGCGAGAGCGGGAGGGCAACCAGCAGAGTTTCACCGCGGCCCTGAACTCACTGCGGCCAGAGAGAGACGCCAAGCACAGACAGGTGAGAGCTTAAAGCGTCACGTCTTTATGGCAAAACGTTTGGATTTGCTCTCTTTTTCCAAAGGCAATGACTTAGAGTATTTGGTATTAGAGAACTGAACATTAACTAAAAAAAAATGTTGTTGCTAAATTGTTTCCTTTGTTTTTGAGACATCCTGACAAGGAACCTTTATTAGAATCAGATTTATTATCTAAGCTCTATTTTCATTAGAATAAATGGGCGTTAGCTGTCCCGATGGACATGTGACTGTCCACCTCAGGTGGTCATTTTTTCCAAATTGCGTGCATAAGCCAGCTGCTGCCTCCTCTCTGCTCTCAGGTGCTCGTGTTTCTGCTCTTCCTGTGTGTGAACGACTACCTTTCAGCACTTCTGTATCCTCAGGTAACGGCTGCCATGGGATCACGTTCAGGTTAGATAAAAACAAACAGAGCGTAGTCTTGGGCTGATGATGAAACCTTTTGGCTGTGCTGGAGCCTCATGTGAGAAACAGACTGATGCTGATCTCTAACTTTCAGTGGAAGCACGGCTTTCTCTCTTATTGGAATTAGATCAATTTGACAGATTAAGCAAGAGACAGGAGCTGTATATATCTTTTTATACATGTAAAACATACAAAGCATACTTGTGTTATTTAATTATATAAATAACAAATTATGATTCTGGAAATTTCTAAGGTTAAATGTACTGTATTTGTTCCATTTGTTCATCGAAAGACAAAGCAGGTTTTTATTTTTAATTAACCCTTAATTCATAACTCAAAAAACTCAAACTGCATAAAAAAGAGAACTAATGGGAATTGGTTGCTGTTTGTTGTAAATTATTTTCTTTCAAACAACCTGGTTTGTTTGTTTCTTTGGTTTTATGCTGTTTCTGCTTTGTTCTGTAGGAGGATATTCATAAAAATGCCAAAGATTTCTGTGCTGACCTCCTGACTGTGCTGGTGGACGCAGCTGATTGGCTGCTCATCCTCAAGCCAAACGGTGCCGCTCAAACAGAACCCAGGTTATCCGTCTGGTTCTTTAATTAACCCGCCTGCTAAATCTGTTTCTTCACCAGCTGTAGAAAATGGCGTTTACCAGCCGGTGACTTTGCTAACATCGGAGGAGCGCTCACAGATGATGCTCTGGGCTTTCTGGAGGTGACTTTTGTTACTAATATTTGCTTAAGGTTTTTTCTGAGAATTGAAAAAATGCAATTACATCTTATTTCTGACTAAAACATTTATTGTTTCCTCACTTTAAACTTGTTTTTCTGACTCTAAATTTGAAACCATCATGTTGCTGTGAGACAAAAGTACAAATATTACCCTCTTTATTTTCTTTGTTAGTTTTAATGCTGAAAAACATTAGTACTTTAGAGTTTTGGTTCCATGACTTAAAAAAGGACTTACGTGTTTTCCTCTGAAATGAATCCCTGTAAAGTTTCTATGATTTTTTTGTGGTTGAGAACATTTTGCCCTCCTGGTTTTTTTCTAAAATGTGAAAATACCTGCTGTGCAGCTTGCTGCTGCAGCAAAGTGCTGATCTGCTTCAGAGGACTGCAGGATGTCCAGGGTTCCTCCACGCCGCCGTCGCCTGCTACACCTCGATGCTGCAGCTCTTCCTGGAGGGACGCACGCCGTCTGCGGGTCTCCCTGAGAAGCAGGTGGACGTGAGCTCTGCGCTGAACCCGCACTTAAAGACGAACGAAGACAAACCAAACGCCCACCCTGAGCTGCCCGTCTGCCAGCTGGAGCCCGCCCACATCCTGGGGCTCACCAAACGCTTCCTTCTGAGTTTGATCTCTCAGACGTCTCCGGCTACACTCACCTCCGCCCAGCTGAGACAGGTAAGCGTCGGCCTGTTTCACAGCCCCCCGCCCACAACTGCACTCGCTCACAGTGAACCTTTTTCTCCGCTGGTGGAACCAGCTGGAGGCACAGTGCGCAGAGCTGGACCCCGAGCTGGCTGCAGCCCTGTCGCTGCATCTGGACCCCCCCAGCCTCAGCCCCGAGATGGACTTCCTCTGACCTGCCGAGCTGTTTGATTTTCAAAAGGAGAAATGTACAAATGGGAAGAGAAAAAAAATCCCTGCTTCACGTAGCCACATATTTAAATAATAAAAACAAAACACTTTTTTACTGTAGTAAAAAAAGAAACTTTACAGTTTATTTACAACTCTTTTTTGTACACAATACACTTTTTTCAACATACAAATTAAGCCCTTCCCTGGCAACAATACACAGAAAAAAAACTCTTAAAAAGATAAATAACTTATTAAAAGCAGTAACTTTGTAAAACTAGACTGCATTTTCTTGTAGCTCATAAAGAACGGCTCTCTGCTGCATGTTGGAGGCAACAGGAAGAATGAGCGGTTAGGTTGGAGATCTGGCTTTAGACCTAATGTCTGGTGTATAGTGTCAAACAAGAGCCAAGTTCTTCCAAATTCTACTAAGAAAGGGGACTTTTTGTTTTAAAAAAGCAGGAAAGGTTATTTTTAGTGCCAAAAGAAAAGGGTCCTGTGTGTGTTCAGTTTTGTCACCTGTGAAATGTAAGTGCTTGCTGTTTAATTAAATCGGTGTGTCCGACCTGTGTTAAGCATCAGAAGTCATCGTTTCCTGTCATATTTGATCCGTTTTAGGCATTTCGTGAATGTGCATTACCAGCAGCTTTCTGTTGTCATTTTTGTTCGTATCTCTGTTTTAACCAGCTGCTGTTCTACTAAACCTCAAATAAAACCATTTAAAATATAAATGTGCCTTATTTGCCAATAGGCAAACAATTTTCATTTCTTGACTAAAACTCTTCCTTTTTAGCTAATCAGTTTGTTGTGTTCTACTCAAATGAGGCGTACAGCTTCTGCCCTCTGGATAACATCTGGATCTGTCCCTGAATTCAGTTTACTTAATCCTAAAAGAGGCCTCTGAGCCTCAGATTCCTCATTTGGCGGCATCATGTTGTGCTGCAGAGTTTGTGAGCCTCACAAAACGAGGACACCTTCACTTTGTGGCGAACTCGGCTGGAAAGTGTCCAAACAGATTTGTCTTGGAATGAAAGTCTGTTTGGGGGAACTTCGCAGAACCTGTTAATGCAGGGGTGTCAAACCCCAGTCCTCTTTGGGCCGCCGGCCCACAGGTTTTAGACTTTTTCCTGCCTCTGCACGCCTGATTCTGATTAAACTGAATCTCCTCTGGACATTGTTGAGCTTTGCACCGGCATGTTAAAGCCTCTTTGATGTGAATCAGGTGTGGTAAAACAGAGAAATCTCTAAAATCTGCAGGACAGCGGCCCAAAGAGGACTGGGGTTTGACCCCCCTGCTTTAATGCGAGGGGGGATATCAACAAGCGGCCTCTCGGTTAAACTGAGACGTGGTGGAGTGTTGGTGTTTGTGTGAGAGGCTGGACTGGACCCCGCCCCCCAGCCTCTGTGGTCCTGCAGCAGGCCTGCACCCGGACCCCCTGCCGTCATCTGTCCTGGTCCTGCTGGACCACCTCTCCCGTCAGCGTGATGGTCTGCAGGTCTGCGTACGGCTGCTGCTGGCTGCTGCCTCTCTGGGCCTCGGCCTGGGTCAGCGGGTGGACCATGGACATGTGGACGTTCAGGTTGTGGGCTTTCTCAAAGCGCTTCCTGCACATCAGGCACTCGAACTCCAGGTCCGCCTCCGCCTTGTGTTTGGTCATGTGGTACTTCAGAGACGCCCGCTGGCGACACTGGAATCCACACACCTCACATCTGAGGGGGGAAAAAACAAAACCCATCAGCACGAATACTGTCTAATTTCTTTGTATACATTTTTAACATCTAAGCCAATCAAACGGTTAAAGCTTGTATATATATTTATAGAGTGTAAGTACATAAAGTCATTTTCCATACAGAGAAATACCTACAATAATTTCCAGGTGCCTTGTACAGGCGTCTGGCTCATCTGAGGCCTGACGGTTAGTTATTTGATAAAAGTGTTAAACTCCACCTTGGGGCAAAGATCTCTAACTCCTGTCCTTGAGGAATGCTGCCCGCCATTTTTCAAATGTTTCCCTGCTTCAACACACCCGATAATTAGTTAATATATCTCTTCAAAAAAGATGAAGCTCTTCAAAAATCTGTGCTAAAGCAGGAAAACATGTCTAAAAACGTGTAAAAGCCTGCAGGACAGCAGCCCTCCAGCTCCGGGGTGTGAGTTTTCTTACTGGAGTGGCTTTGCTCCTGAGTGTCTCATCTGGTGAACAGACAGGTGCTTCCTCTGCTTGAAGGTTTGACCGCACTGGTCACAAATGTAGTTCCTCTCCTCTGGAAAGAGAGACAGAAACCTTAAAAAACTAGACCGTACAAACGCCAACGTTTCTTTATTTCTTTTTTTTTTTTTTTCCTTTTTTGAGGCACCACAGAGTCATTCTAATATGACAAAGGTCAGTTTGGCGAAGTGGACACAAAAGGAGGCGGGCTGTGAAATCCCCGTGCGGGGCTCACCTGTGTGGATGAGCTTCACGTGTCTCTGCAGGTAGCGGTCGATCATAAAAACCTTGTTGCAGCCAGGATGAGGGCAGGGTCGCTCCCTCACCTCCTCGTGATGCTCCTTGATGTGCTTCTACAAAGCCGGCCCAAAAGAGAAGCTCTCATCTACACAAACTACAACAAACTCTCAGCACACATTCATTCTGTTTTTGCTTTTGTGTATAGAATGATGTCAGATAATACAGAACAAATCAACCACGAACAGACTAAATGAAAATAAACCGCTACAGAGTCAGTGGGATTTCTGTTCTCACACTAAATATTTGATGGGGAAATAAGAAGGAAAATGGGTGGAGAAAATGGTATAACCAGATAATGCACTGAACATATTAAATCTAAATTAGAGGTAGTATTACTGTCAATACCACAAAGCTGAATAATAAGTATAGTGGTGGTAAGTTTAATGCAAATTTGACTAATTTCCAGTTGCATTATTTGTTTTTGTTTAGTTTTTTTGCATTATTTGTTTTTAACGTGATCAAAATGTTTTTCAATTAATCACAGACTGATTCAAAAAGAGTGTGATCAGTTAAAAAGCCTAAATATAGCAGATATGAGGCTACATGAAAGCTTCTTAGGCTGGTGTGATGCAGGAAAAGGAGCAGCAGAATCCCTTCACTTTGCTTTTTCTGCTTCGGTCAGCCGCTTTCACCATACAGAAAAAAGATAACCATATTTCCATACAAGCCTCTTTACTTTAGAAGAGCTAAAGACAGTTAGGAATAAAAGCATCTCGGAGGAAAGTGGCTTCTGGTGGCAAAGCCGGTGCTGACCTTCAGACCATCCGGGGCTCTGTAGACTGCTGTGCAGCCCTGATACGGACACTTGTAGATGTTGGGAAGCTCCTCTCTGAGTAAACAAAACACAGCAGCAGTTTGTTCGTCTCTGTTAGAGGATGTTACTCAGATCAGCTGTGGGAAATGGAGAACTCCCAGGAGGTACGCACCCTTTGGGTTTGAACTTGTTCTTCCAGCCCGGTTTGGGTCCAGGTTTCTTTCGGACCTTTGGCTCGTCCGGGGACTTTGGGCTCTGCCTTCTCTTGTTGGGGTTCACCCTGCGAGCTCTGGGGAGAAAGAGTTCAGGGTCAGCTCAGGAGCTGATTTAACCACCTAACCAGAGATCACTGAGCACCGGAGTGGCTTTAAAGCCCAGAGAGGTCCTTTACAGGCAAAAGCTAACAGCAGATGACAGCTAATGGAATCTAATAGTGAAATTGAGGTGCATTCCCAAAAATACAGATAAGAAACCAAAACAATAAAGCATGAGATCAGAAGATTGGTTAAAAAATAAGCAACAATAACAAAAGAAAAGGGCTATTTCTCTTTTAATAATCAGTTATTGAACCTCTGGTTCTAAACAGATGGACCCTGTTTTAAACACAGTACTTCTTATCTGTTGATATTATATCAATCCAAACCAAACCCAGGTGTGCTGTTACTCTGTAGGGGCTAGTTTCAGGAGGTTTTCTGCTGGACTCTCCCACCACATTTTTGTTTGGAGGAAAACCCTTTGTGCCCACCTTTTGTCTGAGAAGGGTTGGAATAGCTCTTCGTCCAACAAGCCCCCTTTTTGGCTCTCCTCAAACTCGTCCTCTGAGACGACTCTGAACACACACACACAGTAAAACTCATTCATTGGTCTCACTCTGAACGTGTGATATTGTTGTGAATCACACGGCAGGGCAAAATATAACTCACTTCACTCTATTTTTCACCTCAGCATAATTACATGATGGATTCAGTTTGCAGTTAACATGCAAGCTCAGATTTTTCATTTGGTTTAAGATTAAGCCAAAAAGCAACTTCCAAATGAGATTAATGAAAAAATGAGAAAAAGGGTAGTCAAATATCTGACGTCTTTCACTGTAGAAACTAGAGTCAATAGAACTGTGAAGGTTTAAATCTAGCTTTTCAAAAAACATATTTCTTACTTAATTTGGCCCCAGAACAGTTTATTTAGGGAATGCCAACAAAAAAGGCTTAATTTAGTTTTAATTTACTTTTGACTGCAAAACAAAAATCCAGATGGATCCTGTTGATTAATTATCTGAAAAAATAATGATGAGACATGAATCCGCAGGAGATGCTAAAGAAATTGCGTCAACATTAAATCGTCCGCAGTCTGATAACAAAAATTATTTTTCTTTTATTTGAATACGGGACATCTACCGCTCCGGCTTCATATCAGCAGACCCCGGTCTGACTGATGGTGTGTCTGACCTGTCAGAGAGGTCGCTGTCAGCGGTCCGGTCTGCCGGGTGGACCGGAGCCAGAGACATCGCCTCCTGGTGACCTGCAAAATCTGGGAAGGGACAAGAGATTTCAGCCATGTGAATAAAGGAAATTTCACAGTCAAACAAACAGTTCAAACCACAACACGGTTTATTTTCTTTGTTTTTCTGAGAGGCTGCCATTGATAAATAAATAAGTAGCTACGAATTAAATGTATCAGAGCTTGGTAAATATTGAGAATCAGTTTGGTTTTCTGATCAATACCAGAATGGATCAACACTTGGAAGCTGAAAATGAAACAACTGAGTTTATAGCAGAGACACACTTTACATAAAACCCAATTCAAATGCGTATTCACCAAGTCTCTCTATCACACGTCCTTGTTTCTAGACTTCCTGCCATAAGAGTGAACCAGTGAGCTGTGACCATTCCCACCTTCCCTGCTGCCGCTCCAGTAGTCCAGCGCTGCGTTCTGCGTCTGTGTGCTGACGGCCTGCAGGCCGCTCTGCACCAGCGTGCTCAGGCTCTCTGCGGAGCTCCGTCCGTTCCCGCTGAGCCGCTCTTCATCGGGATCCTCCCGCTCCTCCTCCTCCTCGGACAGCGCTCCCTCGGCCTCGCCGCCGTCCAGCGCTCTGCCGCCGGAGGGCAGCGTGCTGCACTGAGTGTCCATCAGGTATCTGTGGCCGTCCACGCAGCTCCACACGGCCGTCACCGAGCCCCAGCACTGGCCCTTCAGCACCTCCTTCAGGTCGGGGCAGGAGCGGCAGGCCTCGCCGTGGTGATGGGCCCAAGACACCAAGCTGTGAAGGCACTTAAGGTCTGAGGTAAAAGACGGCGGAGCTGATAAAGAGGAAGAAAAAAAAAAAACAGCCATTAAAAGGGAAGTAGCTGAACATTTCTGTGCACAAAAGCAATGAAAGAATGACGTTAGTTACTTCTGAAGTTGTGGTTTCCTGGGGACTCTGGACACTTTGCATTCTTCCTGAATAAGAATGTAAATTTGTTTGTGGTTCAGTACTTTTTTCAGCAGATACTGACATTTGACAGTCCAACTTTAAATACAACTTGCCGGCTTTTGAGGTTCTCCTTCCCGACAGGCGGGAGGTTGACTCTCTGCAGGAAGCGGATCAGGATGCTGTGGCATTTGTAGAACTTGGTGTGGCATTTTTTGCAGATGAACTCAGAGAGCTGCGGGTCTCTGTTCAGCTGGACGCCGACCAATCGCTGAAAGTCTGTGTGGAACAAAAGGGGCGACTGCCCTGCAGAGTCCGACTCATCGACAACTTCCAGGGAATCCTGAGGCCATCTGTTAAAGGCGTGGCACAGGCTGCGCGGGGAGAACTTCCCGTGGCAGAGCCGACAGACAGCAGCAGACAGTCGACCTGGTGGGACACAAAATGATCTGAGTTTGTGTCGGTCATCTATCTATCTATCTATCTATCTATCTATCTATCTATCTATCTATCTATCTATCTATCTATCTATCTATCTATCTATCTATCTAT